TAGAAAAATGCATCACAAATGGCAACAACGCGACAATACATGCTATATAGGAACAATATGTACAATGGATTATTTTCGATCTTGCAGAAACTAGGTATATGTATGAAATTCGGACACACAAGCTAAGCAAAAGATTGGTATAGTAAAAGCCTCTTTCTGAAAGTAGCGCTAACAAGCTCGTCAGGCTCTTTTCGATCTAGGACTTTTGGAATGTAATCGCGCGAAAATCTTATCTAACCTATTGTTAGGGAAAATCGTAAGCAATAACCGCTCTAGTAAAACATACAGTAACCGACGATTAAGTTGCTTAATCTGCAACGCGCTTGATATAGTGTTGATACCAGTATAGGTGGTATCAGCACCGAGTACGAGACGAAGCTCATCTGGAAGGGAAGACAGCATTAGAGATTTTGCCAAGATCCTTGCGCGCGCCTTCACTTCGGGTGATCGGGGAAAGGTATCTCCAACGAGTTGACCATCTGGCCATACAGAATCTCTGGAATTTATGAAATTTTGTGGACTACTTATCAGGAGCGCACAGCAAAACGCTATTAAGTTTTCTGAGAAAATTGGGAAGATATTATCCAATTTTTCGCTTTGGGAGGAAAAGGAAGTTTGTACTTCATGCTATCTTGACGAAAAATTTTTTTTGAAAATCAACAGCTAAACAAAACTTGAAAAACCCAGACGGATAGTCCTGATTAGACTGTTTTCGTCAGGTATAGACTTCTTGATGCTTTCTGACGCTTCATTTAACCCATGTATAATTTCGTTTTCTTTCAGCCAAAATACCACCCAAAAAATGTGCGATATCCCTATTACTGACACAAGGGTTAGGCCAAGATATTGGAAGAAACAATCAAAACAGCGAGAAAGTAATTTTGAAACTTTGTAAACTTTTCAAAAAATCCATAGACACGAACGAAGGTTTGCTGAAGCAAAACGGTCCAAAAATATTTTCCTTTGAGAAGAAGTTGCTCCAGGAGAAGAAAGGATTGACGCACAACAATAAAAAGCGTTTTAATGCCTTGATAGGATTGGATGGCCAAAGCATTAATTGAGAGCTTGTTGATAACTACTTATTATGCGTGGTGGATGATTCGCAGTTTCCCACGTTTTAGAAATAAGTGTGAAGGGCAAACGAAGTGTCAAAGATTTTAGCGTGAAAAAACCGCTTTATATTTGTGACAACAAAAACGTTGCAGTTTACATCAGTGCTATATTGAAGAGGGAAACATCAAGACCTCACTAATTAAATGCAATTTCGATTTTCTGGAGCAGCTCTACTGCATTACTATGAGCAACAATTACCAATAAACTCCCTACAAAGAACAACCAACATTTTGAAAAAAGGCCTTCTCCTTAACACTGAGAACCATGATACAAAAGAATCGCGTGAAGAAGTAAATTTACAAAAATAAAAAGTTTGAAAAAGTTTTTGATACGCAAAGTTATAAGTTGTGATTTATTAATAATTAGGCTAAAGTAAAACAAACCTTATGGCAGTTAAGTACATTGTAACTTGCTGTTCACTGGTCAACCAATGTACGAGATCTACTATACGTTTATTGATGGAAGTACCAAAAGGAGTTACAAACTGACGAAGGACCGTCACCTGGATAGAATACATAAAAACGATAGTTGAGTATTAAAATAGGTATCTCACCAATTGCCGCCTAAACCACGCATTTCGTGCACGCACGCCAAAAACTTCATCGACAAACAGTATTAATACACGAAGGGGTATGTTATCAGCCGTAGACTCCTGCAAAACTATTTCATCAGCATCTAGGAACACATTTGTGGAACTTTCAGGCAGCAAAGAAAAGGGAAACAAAAAATTGGAAATGTGTCCTAAAAGTGAAACATACTCTGAAGACATAACCAACCTAAAATCGATAATTCAGATAATAAGAAGAATGAAATGAGGAAATACCGTCTTGGTAAAATTCGTAGTTCCAAAAAAGACCTGTTTTTGCTCTCTCAGGTTGCTTAAGAATTCTGATTTGTTTTACTCAAAGTGCTTAATTGATCCCAGGCAGGGATAGAATTTTTCAAACGATTTCATTCGAAACCATGGTAAATAACTAGTTCATTATAGGATAAAATAATTGAAAAAAAATCAATAATGACAACATTTCTTGACATCATATTTGGGGTGCGACTCCTTGATTTTGAGATGGGTGAGATGAAAGGAAAAAAAATGTGATTTTACGTTTGATTTAATTTGGAGTGGGCAGCAAGCTTTGATCTTTGAGCCATCGATGGTAGAATTGAGGGTGGCTTTATGAAGTGCTACCAAAGAGGGAAGAAGGAACACAAAAAATGTATGCGTGAAATTTCTTAGAATTCGAGCCACTATGATTCAAGTATATGCTGCAAAAGTGACCAAGTAAAAATTTTTTGCTATCTCAGTCTATAACTGCATGAGCTCTGTAAAAACTTATTACAACAAAAAATCCA